TGACTCCTGTATACCTGCTCCTGTCTTGGACTTCTCAGCTTTGATCCATTGATATTGTCTTGACCTTGACTCTGCTGTTGAACCCTCAGCTTGATTTTCTGGCTCAGAATTCCTGCCACAATTCTGTCTTGCCTCTGCCTTAGGTGCTCCTGCTCTGCCTCCAGCCTTGCCCCTTCCCTGGATCCCAGCACTTCATTCCTGCTTACCCTATTATATGTAATGAATTCCCTGGCTCCTTACCTCTAGCCTAGCCCTGACCGCAGGCCTGCCTCAGTTCCTGGAATGATATATCAGTCAGACAGGCACCTGGTATTGGAAGCCTTGGCTTTAGCTTCTGATCTTTTGGTATTTTGATCTTTGGCTTCTGAACTCTGACCCCACACATCTGGACCCCACACATGAGAGTGATTTGGTTGTTTTGGTTTTGGAATAAAAAAGAAAAGTTTAACAGCGTAATGTGAAATGTGAGGTTACATATGCATCTAATGTGTTCACTGTTTTTAATTCCTTTTTATTTCTTTATTCTAACTGCTGAAAAAATACAAATATATTGTTTTAGGAAGGCTGCTGTTTCATATTGTTGATCAGAGGCTTGTGCATGAAGGAAATGCAGGTATCATCTTTCCTTCTCTTTTACAGACCACCAAAAGTAGTCCTATATACCTGTACAACCCTGGTTATCTTACAAGTGCCCTGCTTACATGGTCAGCTTCCGAACAGCTGGTCAAAATTTTCCCTATATTTCTACATTATATAAAGGGTTAGTATAAGTGAGAGCAGTTCCAGAGTGCTTTATTTGCACTGTGCCTCCCGTGATCAACTCTGGGTCTTTACAATGAAGAAGCAAATGCTGAGTACTGAATATAGTTCAAAACATGAAGCCATGTTAGTATACACTAAGCAGGAGAAAGCACCCAGGATCCTAGAGCTGTACTGAATTGCCACAAAAAATGTGTTAAAACATGAGAAAATGTCCTAGCACGAGAAGAAAATGCTGATGCATAGACATAACAGAAATAGGTGCACCGAAAGGCCAGAAAGCCCCAGGCTGAAAGAAAAGAACAAAATGGCATGTACGGCAAGGCCCCAAACCCTCCCAGATGTGACAAGCTGACAAGAAAAACTTGAATTAAATGGAATTTACAAATCAAAACACTATGAGCAAGAGCAAATGAAAATGCTGAGATTGACTTAGGGCAGCACGGTGACTCCATGCTCTAGGAGGCCACTGGCGGAGAGCTTCGAAGGAGAAAAGCAAAACCAAACAATATATAAATATTTATCAGAGACCAACTGAACAAAGGGTTAAAGCAACAGAAAGGTATTTAGAGGGCAGACCCACTGGTATGGAACTTGTGATGAGGGCTAGTGAGAAAATGAGCTCTTTCACTGGTCTGATAAGAAGGAATTGACAGGCAAGCATGACAGAGACAAGTCCTGACACAAGAGGTTGAAGAGACAGACAACTGTTCTAATTCACACCAAGCCAGGACTAGCAAAGGTTGGTTCACTGAGTCAGAGGCTCATTGGCACCCTTTAGATTCTCCACGTGTGTCCAGACAAGCACGCACGTACAGTATGCCGCACCACAGGCCCATCTGTGGTGCCATACACTGCACACGCTGCTAATTTGCAGAGTTGGGGGGGGGGGGGTAAAAAATACCTGTGCCTAAAAAGAGCAGGGTGGCGCACATGATGGCAGCGTGTGCCACCTGAAACTGGAGCCTGGCTGGCCAGAGCCAGACTCTGGATGCTGGCCAGGCTCCCTGCTGCCAGATCCCTATGGCTGCAGCCCCCGGAGGTCCCCAAGAGAGGCTGCAGGGATTAGCCCAGGGCTAGGGACAGACATTTAAAAAGCCTGAACCTGAACTGATTCATTCTTTGTAGGTTAGTCTAACCTGGCTAGGCTGAACTGATTTGTAATCAAACAGACATCCCCTCTGGACTGAGCAAATGTTTGCACATGCCTGCAGTGGCTCAGGCTAGAAGCCAGGGGGTGCTAGAGCAGCCCTCCCTTCCCTTCCACAATACTGAACTGAGGGGGGGAGTGGCCAGGCCATGGCAGTATGCTCTGATTAGGGAGGGGTTTCCCCCCCACCCTCACTGTTGATAACAGAGCATTTAGTTACACAGCAGGGAGTTACACAGGGAGCTGTTAGCATTTATCAGCCCATCAAACAAAACAACAGCCTCTCTCACTAGTTCAAGCTCTTCTTAAACAACTTTTTCCAAGGAAGGAATGGAGGGACCTTACCAGCTACCTGTTGATTAGCTCCAAAAAGTCCTAAACTGTCATTGTCCTGTCTGTCTATGTCCGCTCTCCCACAGCACAGACTGTAGCCAGTATGTGGTATGCTAGCGAATGCTAAGAGGTGTCTGTATAAGGCAGAGAGGAGGGGGATTCCTGCTTGAGCAGGGAGTGGTGAGGGGGTGAGGTGGGGGGCAGGAGGAAGCCAGGCACATGCTGCTGTACCTGCAGTCTCTGCAGGAGTTCCAGCCAGGAAGCAGAAGGGTGGGGCCAGCCCTGCTGGGCTGGAGCAGAGAGCAGAGCCCTGCCCAGAGTTGCAAAGCATCTGGGATGCTGGTGGACTCTGGTTTAAACTAAATCAAGAAGGGGTCTGGAACAGACATTGCATAAAATGGTTTTACCAAATCAGTTAAGTGTGATACTACATTCAACCAGGTTTATCTCAAATCGGTTTTAGCCATTTTCAAACTGGTTTATGTGCACTGAACATCTGTTCTGTTGCAGGTTTAAACCAGTTTCTGATCACTTAAACCAGCTTATGTGTAATGTCTGTCCCTAGCCTAGGTGCCCCAGTCTCCCTTACCCCACCCAGGGCAATGTGCCATGCGCCAGAGCACATGTACATGGGCAGACCCCGGAGACAAGTAGCAGCAGCACATATTGTGCCACTGCTGTTTGTCCCTGGGGAAATGCATGTTCTCACTCATGGGGCTACACCTCTTGAGTTGACAAGAAAAGGTTTGAATAGAGGATGACATCATTAAGAATGATTTCCAGAGGAGAAAAGGGATGATTTTTCATTCTGAGATATAGGAAGGCTTCCTTTTAGTTTACTTGGAAGTGCTTTGAGTTTCTGAGTCCAATTTCATGTGAAGTGAGACTTATAAATAACATAATGGATTATGTTCTTTGACTGTTGAAAATAGCTTGATGCATGCAAGTGTTTCACATCCCTAAATGATTTACAAACATAAATAAATAATTGAAATTCAGCCACTTCTGAAGTGGGACTCAACAACTGCACATGACAGCATTTGTAACCACTTGTGAAAAAATTGAATGGCAGACACTGTACACAAGTAAAAACAGAGTGAGTGAATTTAGGTAGAGCTAAGGAACCAGCTGTAGCACCTCAAATCTACAGAAAATGCTTTGGCAACTTTAGTGACCTCAATTGTATATTTAATTTGAAAGGCAGCTCAGCTTGGAGCACAGAGCCCTTTTTTGCATTAATAGGACACCGATATAATACTGTTTCAGTTGGCTTTATGTTAACCCAGATAGAACAGAGCCAGATACAGAACCATGAAGGCCACTTCCTGCAGTATCTTGAATTTGACTTAGATATTTCCCATCCAACTACTAGCCTTTTCTGACCTTGCTGCTTTGTAAGACATGACAAAAATCACAGCCCAAGGTGGTATAGCTGCAGTTCACTTAAAGGGTATGCCTGTCGGATCACCAGTTAAGAGCCAAACATCAAAACAGAAGTAGATCTAAATGCTAGATCCTGAAGCCTATGATATGGGATACCATTTAGTTTTCTTAATATTTGACTTTTAAAGTAAAATAATTTTTGAAGCAACAGTGCCACCCAGGGGTCAGTTAATTCCTGATGTGGAGCCAAAACAATGGCTAAGCACTGATGAAAATTGTGGTTCTTGCATTTAGAAGGACTTCCTCTCATACAATCCTACATAATCTGAACAGTGCAGCAGATTGGGATGCAAAAATTTAAAATAATAACAAAAAAATTGATTTTCATCAGTTTTGAACAAAGTAAAATGATGGTCCAGTTAAATCTGTAATAGAAGTGACTTTTTACATGGATTATTTGTAGCCTTTCCAGATATGTATTCGATTGTGCTGGTATTTTCTGATTTCCCTTTTTTTGTAGGCCCTGATTCTGCAAAAGCTTATGCATATGCCTAAAATTAAGAGTATGAGGAGTCCCACTGAAATACATTGCCTTGTAAGAACTCATTTCCCCTTCTTTGTAACCTGTTTTGAATTTAGGCTGATCTGCTCCATCTTTAGTTTGTACACAACATTATTGTTAAAAATTGTACTTTTTCTGGATCTATAAAGGACTAGGGAATAAATATAGTGTCCTGTTATTAAAATTGTTTGGAATTTGTGTGCGTAGCTTGAAATAGTGGAATTTCAAACTGTATTTAGGAATAGGGTAATCATTTATATTTGAGTTCAAACAAAAGGTAACCCTTCAATTCTTGGAAAACCCTCATGCACTTGCCGACACAGTATGCCATTTCTTTTAGGTTTTGAGTGCGGCTGTAACCCACACATGAGAGCGTGTGTTACAGGGGGCCCCTGTGCCAAGCCACCAAGGTCACGAGTGGTTGCAGGTCCAGGTTATCTTAAAGACTTGGCTCTTGAGACCAGTTCCCAGTCTCTCCGGATGCACAGCCCTAGGGTTACCATTTTTCCAGGTCTAAAACCGAGGGGGGAGCAGGAATCAAAGGCGGGTGCAAGTGCACGAGGGCACCTCGCAGCCCCCACGTGTAAGGGCTGGGAACCCGGTTGAAGCCGCAGCCTCTAGCTCGGAGGCAGCTGGTGGAGCAGCTCAGCCTGTGAGCAAGGAGAGCCAAGTTACTACGATAGGGCGATACCTTGCCACGCCCCATGCTACACGCCCACGGCGAAGGGCCGCCCACAACTATGCCCCGCCCCCGCGCTGGGAGCGCGGTTTAGCTCAGGCGGGACAGCCCCGCCCCTGACCTCTGGAGGACTTTGGCCACCGAGATTCGGGCTAGAACGGCTTGCAACCAGCGGGAGCCCAACTAGAGCGCCGGCGCTGCCCTGCCCCGCCCCCGCAACCACGCATGCGCGCAGTTTCGCTTCGCCCAAGGTGCGGGGCGGGGTGCAGGGGGCTGGGGCTCGAGCCGGCTGCGGCCATCATGGCGCACGTGCTCAACGTCAACAATGAGGTGAGTGGCGCGCGGGTGGCCTCCCTCGCCCGCCCGCCCCCGCGCGGCTCCTCCCCGCTCCGCACAGCACCGCACCGCGCTGCGCCGGCGGGCTGCGGCGGCGGGTTTTGCACTGGGACGTTGAGGCTGGAGGCGCCTAGTCGCAGAAACCTAGAAAATGAGGGCTGGAGGGGACCTCGGGGCATCTGCCCAACCTCCTGCTCTAAGCAGGACCAGCCGCAGCGAGATTATCCCAGCCAGGGATTTGTCGAGCTAGGTCTTAAAAACCTCCAGGTGTGGAGACTGCACCATCTCTCTAGCTAATCTGTTCCAGTGCTTCACTGCCTTCCTAGTGAGACAGTGTTTTCCTAATATCCAACCTAAACCTCCCTTGCTGCAACTTGAAACCATTGCTCCTTGTTCTGTTATTTGCCACCACGGAGAACAGTCTAGCTCCATCCTCTTCTGAACCCCCCATCCCCCTTCAGGTAGTTGAAGGCTCCTATCAAGTCCCCTCAGTCTTCTCTTCTCCAGACTAAATAAGCCCAGTTCCCTCAGTTTCTCCTCAGAAGTCATGTGCCCCAGCCCCCCTAACCATTTTCATTGCTCTCTGCTGCACTCACTCCAATTTGTCCATATCCCTTCTCTAGTGGGGGGCCCAAAACTGAACACAGTACTCCAGATGTGGCCTTGCCAGTGTTGAATAGGGGGGAAGAATCACTTCTCTCCAGTCAGTTGGCAGCACTCTCACTAATGTAGCCCAGGCTGCCTTTAGCTTTGTTTGCAATAAGGACACACTGTTGACTTGTATTAAACTTAATGTCCAGTGTAACCCACCCCCCCCAGTTTCATTTCTGCCTATCGCCCTTTGTTCCCAACCTGTTTTTTATACATTTTGTTACTTGCATCTTTGTCATTTTTACTGTAACACTTGCTACTGCTGCTGGCTGTTAACAAGTTATTTGCAGAATTGAGTTTTCACTCCTGGGTTTTGTCCCCCCTGTCTGCATGAACACACTCAGACTGGCAGACTTTTCTTGTCTTCCCTTTGTTCTTTCTGAACATCATTTTCTTACCATCCTTGACCAAGCTTCCACTTTGACTAAACTTGTGGCTGCCTTGCTCAGCTTTAACTAGCAAGTGGCATTTTAGCAAGCTTAGTTCCTTTCAGCACCTCGCAGGACTGGACACTGCCAGTTGTTATGGTTACAAACCCAGAGACATCATAGGAGAATCTATGGTGTCAGAAGCGTTCTGTCCTGCTGTGGTCTCTCAGAGTTCTTTGCACTGGAAGAATTGCTCTGTCTATAGTCTGAAAGCGAATGAATACTAAGAGCTAGCAGTTTCCTAGACTGGGGAAAGCTAAGGCAGAGTCACAGCTACAGTTCACTGCCTGCACACCCCTATCCGGGGAGTGCAGGCAGCTGATCACAGCTCTGTACTGGCTTCGGCCTGTGCTGTCACTGCTGCAAGATCCCAGCTCTGCCCCCGAGGCAGCTCTCCACTGAGCTGTGCACCGTGCCAGCACTGCTTGGGCCAGTCTCTGTGGAACCTTGGTCCTGTGCTATCATGGCCCTCTGCTCCTGGGATCTCCATGGAAACCGTCCACAGTGAAATGGGCTGGGGCTACTGGGAAATGGAGTCTGCCAAAGGCCTGATCTGGCCTGCAGGCTGGACATTGCCACCCCTCTAATGGATACTTTACTTCTATGCTTACAGAATAAGATGATGTTATATTCATCCAGTTATTCACATGTTTGTTGAATGCCGAAACAGTTTAAGTGTGTGGTATCTTTCATCTGCACAATATGCTTTGTACCTTAATTTTACTATGCTTAACTACATAGATACAATACAGAAAGCATGACTACTTGGAAAGTATTCATACCCTGTTTAACACCACCAGAAAAAGTGAAGGAAAAACAACTGTCAAAGTGCTGTTGCTAGAAGATTGAAAGTGGTGGGACTCAGTTTCCTGGCTGGCTGCTGTTTCCCTGTTTTCAAAGCATCTAATAGAACCCTGAAACTGAGTATTAGAAGCCTTGAAAATAAGAAAGCTAGTCAGTTCTGGAGCACTGATAGCTATGTTCTTCAGGAGCATTGCTTACAGTGCTGTTAGTTAGTGCTGTAGTGTTCTAGCAGCTTTGTAATTGCTTAGCGCCCATTTCCAAGGCTTCTAGGGCTCTGAGTTTCAGGGCTGCTAATACAGCCTTTGTACTTTATGAGCATTAAGTTGGATAAGTACATACAGACTATGTGTTTTACTTTAACACAGTTTCCCAACCTTTTCCAGCCCAAGGCATGCTTACATTAATAACAGTTTTCAGTGGCATACCTGTTAAGGCACTCCCCATCCTCATACCTATTGTAGCTCATTGCCATGGCAAAATTCTGTGGCACACCTGTTCATTTCTGATGGCAGAATTTTGTGCCATGGCACGCTGGTTGGGAAACGCTGCTTTAACATACAGAATAGTCCAGGTAATCCTCCTCTGCATGGAGGAAATTTCTCTTATAGTTACAGCAGAATAATTAATTCCAGTATAATTGAACTATTCTGATGCAAGTCTCTTGTGTGGACATTCTATTCTGAAACGAGATTATATTTTGGAATAATTACTCTGATTCCAAAATAAATCGGCTTTGGAAATGAAGTAATTATTCTGGAATAAAACCCTGTTACTTCCAAATTAGTTATTTCACTATAGTTGTGCTGGTTGATTTTCTTTGTAATGAACTACATTGTAGGTGTGCTACATAGGTTACTGGATACAACTGCAAGATAAGGTTCCTACAGAACAAGGTGAATAGGTACTGTGGAATTTAGGATATCTCTCATTCTAGCTTTAATCAGGCCATGGAATGTAACTGAGTTGTGTATTTAATCTTTTGTGGTGCGAGTAGATAAGTGTGTCTGGGCCTGCTGCCATTCTCAACTCCTGCAGTGGCAGAGTAGTAACAGGACCCAAAACAATTTTAGTGCATGTTCTCCTCGGATAGTTCGTGTTGTTTGCTCAGGAGATGGTTTCTCTTCTTGATCTTTTGCCCTAGTTTTGGGTTCTGTTACTACTCCATGTGCAAGTGATCTAGGGTGACCCTCTTCTTTACACTAACTTTGATTTGTATCACCTGCTAAACATCCAAAAAAGATAGTAACTTCAAGTAGGGGTGCACCTATAGAGATTTTTGGGGCTGATACCAATATCCAGTTTTTAAGGAGGCATATCGGCTGATACCCATCTGATTTCCAATACGCAGTTCTTCAGCTTGAAGAGCTGAGTCCAGCTGGTAAATCTGGTATGGTGGAAGGGAAGGTGTGTGTGTGTGGGGGGGGGGGGGGGGGTGCAGATCAAGTCCCCTGCAATAAGGGAGGGAATGGGGCAGGGGCAGGCACTAACCCAGCAGGGAGTGGGGTGGGACAGAGCTGTAAGTGGCTCGTCTGAGGGGTGTGGTGTCTGCCCACCCCCGAATCTGCATGGTGCAACATGGGCTGCAGCTGCAGGCTGGGGCCCGGGCCAGGGTGGGCACAGGAGGGAGCAGCTCCCGCCACTCATCTGGGAGGGGGGTGGGGGAGGGCATATGCCCTCAGATCTGCCTGGTTGGGAAGAGCCTGGCCCCAGCCTGCCCTGCCCCACCCAGTTCTGGGGGCACATGCTTCCCCTCCCCACCCCGTGCCTTCCCAGATGAGTGGCTGGAGCTGCCAGACAAGCAGTGGACAAGCTGTGCATAGTGGTGGAAGCCGCCCCCCTTCCTGTGCCCCCCAAAAAGCTGCGCCTCTATCCCATCCCAGCCTTGGCTGGGCAGCCCCTGCCCCAACCCCAGGCCCACACCCTTCCTCACTGCAGGGGCTTTGATCTGCCCTCCCCTTCCACCACATCAGATTTACCAGCTGCATGCAGAGCCAGCTCTGCTCCTCACTGCCTACTTGCTGCACTGTGGCTGCGCGTGTGCACAGGCATTTATCGGACAAATTATCGGCTGCATGAGGCTGATTTCCAATATAGCAAACTTTCTTTACATCGGTGCGGATCTGATATCTGACCAATGTATCAGTGCACCTCTAACTTCAAGTTAGCTATAAGCATAGTGTGAATGTAAGGCAGTCGGGGGGCTGGCCTTTTTGACAAATTAGCCTTGGACTCTCCCTGAGTGCCTCTCTGATCCCTTCCCCTACCCAATCTGCTGCTCTGCTTTCTGCTCTCTGCCCAATCCCGCTCCCTGGTGGTACTGCCTGTTCTCTCCATGGTCCATGAAAGGTCTGTTCTTACAGGTTGGCAACTCCTGGTGTAAATGGAATCACATTAGTAAGATCTTTGTGCTTGATTTCAGTCTCAGTTTCTTCCAGTTGTTGCCTGTGACAGTCATGTACTGTTCAGGTTCCTTTCAGTGAAGTTATTTGGAAATTGAAGTTGTTTAAGCACAAGTAGCTACAGTCAGTATATGCAAACATCCTAGAGACAGTGACAGGTCATTGGCAAATATATTAAATAAGATCTATAGCACTGTGTGTTGTTTGTTTTTTCTAAAATCTCCAATTTCTAGTTTTCTGGTGTTGAGTCGCAGGTAAATATATTCTTCAGAGCAGCAGCTGAGTTGCACATAAATGCCCATCCGGGAAGAATTCTTGAATCTTGTACTGTAGAACCTGGGAATTTTGTAGAATTAGGCTTTGTAGCCCTTGTGAATATGAGGGTGTCGGAACCAGCCTGGAATTATTTTCAGTCACAGCAGACACTTGCACTGGACCACTGAGATCCTCCAGCTGTTTGCTGCACCTTTGTTTCAAAGGGTGCAGCTTTTCTGATCTGCGTGGAGGACTACTGATGAACTTCAGCTGGGTGGAGAAGCAGCACTTTTGAATTAAAAGCCTAAGCAAAAAGCTGCACAGCTTGTCCTTCACTTGACAGCCTAATTTAAATTAAGCTGGATAGGAGTGATGTGGTTCTACTGTACAGCAGTCTAGTATGCCAGGTAACCTCATAGCTACTGAACGCTGAAGAAGGGTAGCTCCAGTGTTTTAT